ACCAGCACGCTTTCTTTCAAATGAAAATATGGCTGTCAAACTATCGAATTGCCTGCAATAGATGTCAAGCAATAAGCGCTGACATATATTGCAGCACATGAGAAATAGGCGGTCTCCATTGGAAATATATTTTGTGACATAGTTTTCACGACATCAGTGTTTTCCTGTGGAGACAGGGCCTAAGGAACAGCTGATTTTTATTTGTAAACGCTTCACCTTCATTTCGGCGCCGTTCTACGTTCCTTTACGTCACGTCAGTTTTATCCTTGAGCGTCACGTACGCAAAGTACTCATTATGACGGGCTCTAAGTGATATTGGTGTGAATAAATGTTCAAAAATTTAATTTCTTTGATAGAACCACTTTTTTCGTGTTATGGATTTACGTTCTTTGGTTTGACTGAATTTTCAAAATCACTTGCGCTGTAACGTTTGACTTGACTTTAATATAAAGAGCATGTCAGACCTGGCAATCTTTAAAACTTTTCTACGCAATTCGCTGTCAAATTGAGAGACAAATTTTATTTCAACGTGTGAACAGCCAGAAAGACCTTTCTGTCACTTTTCGGAAATCAGTGTCAGAAATTAAAGTTGCAAGGTGTGACTCCAACAAAAAGCGCGCAAATCGATTTCGGAAATATATTTCAACTTGCTCATGTTGCACTAGCAACCTGCAATTCGCCTTTCGGAAATAAAAAACCTCTTTTGAAAGGCACTTTACATGCAAAGTGTGACTGCACATGCAACTGCTTTCTGAAATGTCTAAATTCGACAGCATTTTCGAAATATATTGCATTGCCACGTCTGACACGCTCTTAGTAACCGATTAAAGTCGATAATCATAGCCACAAAACAAAAATTATGCACTTTGTTTTGTTTGATTGTCAAGTTCAGAGTTATTTATAACATCAAAACAAATCACTACTAGGGCACTAAGTACTATGTACTGTATTGAAAAATGCTTCGTCTTACCATTTATTAAGGGCTTGCGGCAGAGGAAACACAAGGTATTATATAAACCAAATATAGGAACAAGACATGTACAAAGTGACCAGTGAAATCTATGAAGAGACCAACTACAACCCAGTCAAAGGCTCCAATGGTAGAGTTTTGTCCAAATTCAAATTCAACTACCCACCAGAGGATGAAATTTCCGCGTCTTCTAGCGGAACCATTGTCGATAAAGACGGAGACTTAGTGGTGCGACGAAAATCGGATTCTAAGCGAGCTGGTGTGATAAAAATAGAGCATTCTGAAGCCACGGAATTGCGTCTGGTGGGACTACAAGTTTGGCGTGGCGCATTGTTATTAGCCGATTATATTTTTCATAAGCGTGCCGAATTTCGTGGCAAAGTTGTGCTGGAGCTGGGTGCAGGCGTTGGATTGACCAGTATTGCTGCAGCTATCTATGCGCAACAGGTTGTGTGCACAGATGTGAATGTTGGCGGAATTTTAGATTTAATACGGGAAAACGTGAAGCACAATGTCGAACTGCTTCAAAAACCGAATACTATTGACGTTTTGGAATTGGATTTTCTAAAGCCTGTAAAAGAATTTTCTCCAGCGCTATTGGCGGCCATTAATAATTGTGACGTTGTGGTAGCGGCTGATGTAATTTATGACGATGACCTGACTAATGCATTCATACGAGTTTTAGATGCTTTGTTTGAGCATGGCAGATTATCAGGAAAAGATAAAACGGCGTATATAGCATTAGAGAAGCGATATGTTTTTACTCTGTCCGAGATGGATACTGTGGCGCCAATGTTTGAGTATTTCCTGAAGCAATCCATGCATAAGGCTTGGCTTCTCGAGTATATTGAAACAGATTTTCCACAATATTTTGATTATGATCGCTGCAGGCATTTAGTGCTGATGAAGGTAACACACGCTAAATAAGTAAAATTAAAAAAATAAGTATTTATTAGCTTAACATGTACGTAGTAGCAATACAAATAGTTGAAACAATAACCCGAATAATAGTTTAATAAACCACAAAAATTTGTGATAAAAATTGATTGTTTTTTCCGACTGCCTACAAATATCTTACAAATCCTGCATTGCTAGAATAATGTTTTCGAGGGCTGTGCGTGCATCAGTAGGAGGAAATTTTTCAAGCACTTCCATTGCAGCCGTCGTGTGCTTGCGTTGCAAGGCCTTGGTCTTTTCCAAACCTGGCCCAGATAGGATTGCTTTGTGTATCTTAGCATAGTCGATATTTTCAACCGATACTCGACCTTTTTCTATTTCATCATATAATGAAGAATCATATTCGAGATGAAATAGTACCGGCGCACTTACCAAGCTAAATGGAGTATCTGAAAATGATATTAGTCATAAAATGGACTTGTATAATATAAACAAGTATATTACCTATTGGCAGAGTACTACTTTGAAATGGCTCTGCATCCAAGCATGCTTGCCATGCCAACGACAAATGCTTACCGAACAAATAAGCTTGACGCTGCATATCTTCGCTTTGCCCAGCTAATTTTAAGGCACCCTGGCATGCTTTGCCTAGCAAACTACCAGCGTTTAATATATTGCGGCATTCCCACTCTTTTTCGGGTATGCCCATGACTTTTGAGATATTCATAGGTATCATAACATCGTTTACATCGAAATCAATGCTTTCTGTTGTAGCAGTACCATTGGTTTTTAGCGTTTCAGATCCCGGCTTACAAGGCAATGGATTATTTTGCTCATCACGTTCTCCAACAAATTGAGACTCTGAAAAATCTCGTACAGCTGATGAAATCAACTCCACTACTTCTTGATTGCGTAGATTAGCTAATTCAGCGCTAGAATGACCAAGCAAATAGTCCCCAGTCAGTAAACCTATTTTGTTACCAAACGCCATATCCTCATAAGTCGCTGTATCCTTTCCAGCCTCCGACGAAGGTTGTAAATTTACTAAACTCTGTTAATAAGAAAATGTCTTGAATCAAATTATCACAATACCATTTGTTTTAATCTTACATTGTGCACCAAATGCGAAATTCTAATCATCTCCGTAACTTCAGCCAGAGCGCGTTGAGAATGCAGCACACCTGCGCTTTTATCCTGTTCCATGTCCGGCACCGAAGGCGCATGGCCAGCGGCCTTGGATATAAGAAGCACAATTAAGCCCCAAGCCTGCATTGTATTTTTTCCATTGTAGAGTAGATGTCTGAAAACATTAGCAAATTAGTGATTCAACCAATCGAATATATAGTATAACTTTTAAATCC